GCCCCCCCCCCCCCCCCCCTCTTCATTCTCTTCTGCATCTTCTCTTCATGATAAGATGACAGCCGATGATGTGTTGCAGGATATTATTGTTCATCATCTGAGTCAAAATAACGGTGATAATGATAAGAATTTGTGTGCAAAGTGTTCAAAAACGAAGGATGATATAAAAGTGATTTTAAATTAATTAAAATCTACCCAAGAAATAGTTAGGATACTGCAAGACGAAATTCAAAATAAACTTAGAGACTCTGTGAATGAAGGTAACCTAACAAACGGTGTAAATAGAAATTCTGATTTAAAACAAAGTACCTCAAATGATAATGTCAGTGGACGGAAGGAAGTGCGGCATAATAAACTTTCAACAATTCAACCAAAGAAGGTTTTGACTAATTATAAGCATCTCACTGCATACTCTCCATTAACTGAAAATAGATTTCAACCCATAAGTGACTATCAAGACTCAGCCTCTCAGCATGATGGTGATATAATCAAGTCTAAACCCTTATTGGGGCCAACAAGTGATGATTTAAATAAACATAAAATTATTATTCTGGGTGACAGCCATGTGAAAGGTTGTTCTGAAAAATTGGCATGCATCTTAGGAAACAAATTCAGTGTTACTGGGATTTCGAAACCTAATGCGAACGTGAGTAACATTATTGATTATAAGTACATAAAGGCTGAAAAACTTTCCAAAAGAGACGTGGTGATTATCTGGGGTGGTGCAAGGGATATAGCTAGGAATGAAACCAAGGAAGGGTTAAGATCTACTGTGAAACTTATCAGACTTTTAACTAAAACCAATGTCTTTATAACATGTGTTCCCCATCGCTTTGATCTTCAAGCTGAATCATGTGTTAATAAGGAAGTAAAATTGTTTAATAGAAAGTTACAGAAGCAAATGAAAACTTTTGATCGTGTACATGTCTGTAGTATAAGTGAAAATAGAGAACATTTTACCTCTCATGGTTTGCATATGAATTTTAAAGGCAAACTTTGGATTACAAATACTAAATAGGCCTCTAGCATCTTACTCATTTTATCAAGATTACTAACACTGCCAGCTACTCCTCTACCTTGGATAAAGGAAAATGAAAATGGCCACATGGAATATGAACAGAAAAATGAGTCAGTGATGAAAAAACCAAGGGATCAGAATGTAAGCCTGTCAAAAAAGGAAGCATATTGCAGTGTTGCTGATTCAAAAGTGCTCAGTGAGGACAATGAAGAGTTAATTGACTTAATTGAAATAGTTGGATCACCACCAGTAAGGATAAGGGAACAAGATAAAACTCTGATATGGATGAAGATAACTCTAAGTGTGTTGAGCTGGAAAGTATTTATGGTCCTGGTGAAAAAATGGATGAAGATAACTTGAATAGTTCTGACAAGGAGAACAAAGAAGTTTTGAATTTGACGGAACTAATCGGATCTTCACCTCTGGAGATAGGCGACAAAGGAAATAGTAGGTCTAAGAACATAGAAAAGACGAATGTCTCTGAACTCAAAGTAACTCAGGGCTTAAATGGTAAAATTAATAACGAAAAATCGGTTAAGGTGATGCCTAAGTTAGGATCAACTCGTCAATCAAATAGGATAAAAAACTCAACATCTGCAAAACAGAATGATTTTTTATGGTCAATGTAAACCAGAATGGTAGCAATAATTCTAATAAGATTTTCACACAAACTAAAGATTGTTCAAAAATTACCCAAGATGGAAAAATCAATTCATTAGTAAACAGCAAAAACCTTAGACAATTTTTAAAAATTTATCATCAAAACATTTGCGGTCTAGAATTTAAAATTGATGAGTTACTGGCTTCCTTGTATCCAGATCTACCAGATATCTTGTGTATATCTGAACATCATTATTATTATAAATAATATCCTCTCAAATTGTCAGTTTGGATTTAGGAAGAACACATCAACTATAAATGCAACTTACAAATTAACAAATGATATTGTTGGCCTTAAATAATAAAAGGAAAAGTGGTGGTATATTTTTTGACTTGGAGAAGGCTTTTGATTGTGTGAACCATGATATATTATTGGTTAAAATGAAATATTATGGTGTAAGCGGCGTGATGTATTCTCTGATTGAGTCATATTTAGAAAATAGATACCAAACGGTAAAATTTAACAATAAATTATCAAATTGGGGCAAAACTGATAAAGGTGTTCCTCAAGGATCGATTTTGGGACCGCTATTGTTTTTGATTTATGTAAATGACTTACCCTCCTTTATACAGTGTTCTGTCCCATCAAATACATCAGTTGTGCTATTTGCTGATGATANGCCTTTTTCCACTCAGTAATGTCTTACGGTTTGATTTTTTGGGGAAATAGAACTCTCAGTATGTGCGTTTTTAAATTGCAGAAGAGAGCTGTTCGAATAATGGTGGGAGCTGGAAACAGAGATTCATGTAAAAAAATCTTTAGCCAATTGAAAATATTACCACTGCCCTCTCGATATATATATTCTTTGATGATGTTTGTAGTTAATAATATGGATTTATTTGCAGAAAATTTAGATATATATACAACTGTAACAAGAAATAGTTCAAATTTGCATCTCCCCTTGTCAAATCTAACAGCATTTCACAAAGGTCCACAGTATTTTGGAATCAAAATTTATAATAGTCTTCCAAGCAAAATAAAACAGTTATCCAGAAACAAAAATCGATTCAAGAAAGCACTATTACAATTTCTCCATTTATATTCATTTTATGGTATTGATGAATTTTTTGATTACAGGGTTAAAAAGACTGATAATTGATTTTATTGGGATTATATACGTAAGTAATGAAAAGTTGAATTACAAATTTTATAATTTTAAACTTATGTTTACATAAATATTTTAACATGTATTATATTTTTTGTAATTATTATATTTGTTATATTGGACTGTTTGTCTATATCCTGAGTCTTATGACCTTGTAAAGGATTTTTGACATGTAAATAAACGATAATGATAATTAGTTCTCAACGAGCTCACATTTTGAATGACGTGTAACACTTTACTCAATTGGGGGAAGGGGGGGGTGTTTAAGTAGTTACCTGATTCAATAAAGTAAAGTCTTACTTAAAAGTAAAGGTATCCCTATAACAGGCCTTGGAGGCCCATAGGGTTGTGAGATGTTGAGGTTCCCACATTTTCTAGACAATCAGCTCATATATGGTGGTAAGGTTGCCAGCCCTGTGCATCAGCTGCCCTTTATCCCCAAGAATATTCCTGGTGCTCATTTTTTGTTAGAGGTTGAGTTGACTCTAGGGCCATAGTGAGGCTGGAAGGATTAGGTCAATTGAAAAAATCCAATGACCTCATCGGGATTCAATCCTGCGACCTTCCTGCTTGTAGCATAGTGCTTCAACAAGTCTTGGGTGATGAAATCATAAGTTACCTAAAACCTTGTGGTGAATTAGGCAATGTGATGCATGTTCACCTTTCTTCTGGTACATTTTGCAAGTTGGACCATTGACTTGTCCCAACTTTAAAAAGTGTCCTTCAGGTGATAACACCCTGTAAATAGTCCTGTCACCCATCTCGGCTAGTTCCTATTTGATTCTAACAGTTCCCTAATCCTTTTCTTACAGAGTCTCTGAAGAAAACCCTTCACCTGTTTGAGACCTAATATCGATTCCCACTGCTTTTTTACTTAATTGTTCGTCAAGTGCCTGGTGACCTTCTTGGAAACTCATGTTGAGATGACACGTCAGTTCAGGTGCTATACGTGTATGAACATACAAATCCCATTCTTGGGAAGTGGTCAGCAATTTTATTACCCTGTGACTCAGAACCCAGACCGGCTGAACTCTGTTATGCTCAGACAGTTTTATAAGGCATGATTACAGTCTCATAGCAGTTTAGAATTCATGCCGTAATTGTTAAGTTGCTTTAATCACTGCCAGACTGTCAGATTGATCAGATAAGTCTCTAATTTTATTATCTCCTATCTATATTTTCTACTGCACTTCTGCCTGGAATACTGTGGAGTACTGTCCAAGGCTAAGGAAAAAACATTAGGTTAGGTGCATGTTCTGATAGGTCTACTTACTGTAAGCAGGACTGCATACCTGGGGAGACAGCTCCAGAACAATGTATGAGTTGTCAAAATGAGCTAAGGAAAGGCTTATGTTGGGGAAGTGAGCCCAGTCCACCGGATCATTCCAGCAGTACATTTTCTGGAGAACCAAAAAGTCACTGGAAATAGGCACACTCAGATCCATAAGGGAAGAGTTTAACAGCTTCACCACCATGCTGAATACCTGAAGACAGAGTGGATAAGTGAGCAATAATAAGATTATATTTTGTTTTTTGAGACATAATGTGATGTAGATTGGTAGGAACCTGACTCCCTTTACCCTAAATATGGAGGCTACCAGATCCTTCCAAAATATTGGTACATTCCTACTAGACTACACAGCATCATATCTTAACACTTTGTGCTTTTAAACATGGCAGACCGGTGGCATATTATTATGACTTTAGGACACATTATGTTGAAACACACTATACCTTGCACTGGCGCCAGGCAGACGCAAGACTGGTGCGTGACAGACCTCCTGAATGTTTGCTTCATAGTCAGTTTTCCTTTCTCACTCCAAAAGAAAATGCCTTTGTTCATCTTCCAGCTGCATGTACCAGGCAGGAAGTTACTAGTGGAAAATGGATCAAGGTCGGAAGAGGTTGAGGTCCAAGCGTTTTCTCGGAGAACAAGAAATATCTGACTTGTTCTCTGATGAGCTATCTGACGTCCCTTGTGAGTCTGCTAGTGATAGTGACTCACAATCTGTTAGTGAGTGTGGCCACAGACAGTGAAAGCGACAGTAGCTCTGACGAAAGTGCGGGTAGCAACATTGCGGGGAGAGCCACATGGGGAAAAAGTAGACAAAACACCTGCTTTGGGACAGTTTACTGGAAATCCAGGGGTGAAGCAAATTCCATCAGACCCAACACAAATATCTGAAGTAGTGGAACTGTTTTTTGGAGATAGTTTCTTTGACACGCTATGCCAGGAAACTAACAGATACTATCTCCAACACCATGAACATTATGACAGAAGTTATAAGGCGTTGAAGTGGGTGGATGTCACTTCAGCAGAAATGAGAAAATTTTTTGCAATAATCTTTCTAATGGGCCATACAAGGAGGGATAATCTCAAAGAGTATTGGTCAACAGATCCATTTTTAGAAATTCCAATTTTCAGCAAACTAATGAGCCGTAAGAGATTTGAGCAAATTTGGTGGTGTTTGCATTTCAATGATAATGAACTGCAACCACAATCAACAAGCAGGCTTTTCAAAATTCAGCCCTTATTGAACTTTTTCATTCAGAAATTTCAGACAGTTTATAATCCAAACCAACAGCTGTCTTTGGACAAATCTGTGATTCCTTGGAGGGGAAGGTTTTGTATGTGAACATATAATCCTGGGAAACTTACAAAGTATGGCCTACTTGTTCGTGTAGTTACTGAAAGCACTTCAGGCTATATTGGAAATTTAGAAATTTATTCTGGTGAAGGAAAGAAATTACAAGAAACTATTCTTTCCATTTTGGAACCCTATCTTGATCAAAATTACCATGTCTATCAAGACAATTATTATAACAGTGTGGCAACTGCAGAACACCTATTTCGAGAAAAGTATGTGTTTGAGGAACAATTAGGGTGAACAGAGGCCTTCCTCAAGATCTGAAAGAGGAATGTAAATCCCTGAAACGTGGTGAAACAACATTCAGGAGGAAGGGGGATATTCTTCTTCAGTCCTGGAGGGATACTCATGTTGTGAATATGATTTCCACAATTCACAATTCGAGCATGGTTGATGTTCAAAGGAGACATGGACAGGTAAAGAAGCCTGTTTGAATTTCCGAGTATAATATGTTCATGAAGGGAGTTGATAGGGCCGATCAGTACTTGGCCTATTATTCTGTTCCTCAGAAAACAGTAAAGTGGACAAAGAAAGTTGCCTTGTGGCTTATAAATTGTGCCATTTTCAATTCATTTTTGGTTTTCAAAAATCTAAACCCTCATTCAAAATTGAAATACAAGGTATTTCTGCTGAATGTGGCAAAAGCCTGGGCTACAGACCACATGGTGGCGGCAGAACCAGCGGCAGACACAGTCTTAGTATGACCAGGGCCGTCTACTCCCACCCCACACAGGCCTCATTTTGAACCCCCTGGGCGACTCTCGGGTGATATGCGGAAACATACCCTTGTGAAAACTGTGAAGAGTGAATATGCCAAGGGGAAGCAGCCTTCTAGGCAATGCTGTGTTTGCACAGTACACAAAAAAAGGAGTATGACTGTCTACATGTGCAAGTTCTGTGTAATGCCACTTCACAAAGAGGAATGTTTCCAGAAATATCATTTTCTCAAGCATTTCTAGAAGCATTGGTAAGTGTTCTCCAAAAATTTTAGTACATAAAATTAATTAGGAGATTTTATATTAATTTTTAAAGTGAACAGTGCACAAGTTAGGGTAGTAGGTTTAAAAATGCCAGTCCCCAGGGTGATTTAAATATTTCAATTGCTGGTCTGCAAAGTGTTAATACTCATTGACATGAGAATATCCCACCAACTGAGGATTAACCTTGGACAGCACTGGGATATTCATATTGGCTGGCCACTGTTAGGTGACTTTACTTTCTCGTAATGGAAAAGAACTCTTTATGGGACAAACAATTTGTGGATGCAGACCATGACAAATATGGATGTACTAGTGTAACAGCAGCTGAAAATTTGGGAGCTAATAACAGACTATCAAGAATAATTAAGAAGCTGACAATATATCTGTTAATATCTGCATATGATAGTGCTAAAGCTATTCACTGAAATGGAATACAAGGTAAAATGCTTAATTTCAAAATTATTGACATATACTTTGTAATCCACCTCAAAAGAGAGAACAGATATATGTAAACAGTCTGTGGTTCCATCCCCGTACATGTGCAAGCTTGGGGGTGGGGGGAGAATGAAGTGCTGTTGCCAGTAAACACCGAAACATGTAGTCACAGACACACAGTGGTATGGGTATCAGTAGACCTAGCAGCAGAAGGAATCAACAAGTGAATCACTTTCAAAGCAGACTTCGGCAACATGCCTGTCAAGCATGTGACTTTATCAGCCAAAACTGTTTTGAGGCAGAGTGCATCGAGTGTTAATACCAGGAGTCACAAAACCATGGCAAGACTGTAATAGTAATAATACTTGAGACTATTAGCTCTTAAATAATACTATGGTACCAGAACCAGAAGGTTGGACATCACTAACTGCTAACCCCACTAACAGATGTGACCTTGAGCCAGTTTGAATACGTGGTGTGTTCAAAAAGTATCGAACCTTTGGTCGGCAGAAATACATTTATTGATTTGGAGGTACAAAACCCTAATCCCCTTCAAAGTAGTCTCCTTGGTAATGCACACACTTCTCCCAGCACTTCCGCCATTGTTGGAANGGAAACACTTCTGGAACGCGTCTTTTGGAATGGTGATCAGCTGGGCCGTCGCATTCCACATGATGTCTTCTCTTGACTCAAATGTGTTCCTTTCAGCAGCATTTTCAGCTTGGGAAATAGCCAAAAGTCAAACGGAGCCATGTCGGGGGAGTAGGGAGCCTGACGAACCACAGGGATGTTGTGTTTGGCGATGAAAGTCTGAATCAGATGCGCAGAATGGGCGGGTGTGTTATCATGATGGAGCTGCCAAGTTTTTGCTGCCCACAGATCCGGTCGTTTGCACCGCACAGCATCACGAAGGACCTCCTGGTAGTATTCCTTTGTGATGGTTTGGCCTTGTGCTGCATACTCATGATGCACAACCCCACGGGAGTCGAAGAAAACGGCCAACATGACCTTGACATTGCAGGGGACCTGCCGTGCTTTTTTGGCCTCGGGGATATTGGATGTTTCCACTGTGACGACTGCATCTTGGTTTCCAGGTCGTACCCATAAACCCACAACTCATCGCCTGTGATCACAGTGTTCAGAAAGTTGGGGTTACTATTTGCATTGTCCAGCATGTCCTGTGCAATTTCCAGATGGCGCTGATTCTGCTCCATTGTTAGCAGTTTTGGTACGAATTTCGCGGACACTCTCCTCATGCCCAAATCCTCGGTCAAAATTGAATGTACCGATCCAATGCTTACCCCTACCTCATTCACAAGTTCTTGGACTGTGATACGACGGTCCTCCATGACCAAAGTCCGCACTTGCTCAATGACATTCTCATTTCGGCTTGTTGAGGGTCTGCCTGAACGCGGTTCGCTGTCCACTGATGTGCGGCCATCTTTGAAGCGGTTGTACCACTCCTTTATCAGTGAGTTGCTCATGGCATCATCCCCGAAAGCCTGTTGAATCTTGCGAATGGTTTTCACTTGGGTATCGCGAAGCTTTTGGAAAAATTTGATGCAATATCACTGCTCATGTTGTTCCGTCATTTTACACCTTACTGGAATCCGACGAGAGCTCACTACACGTCCTCACTCATAGGCCGACTGCCAGCGACTGACGCTTTCTGTGGGTGGGAAAAAATTCACGACTGCGCATGACTGTCCCCTCCACATCTCCACCGAAGGGAGCCTCCCGCGCTTCATTGTTTTACGCGGGGAAAAAAGAAGGTTCAATACTTTTTGAACACACCACATATTAGCTCTTAACAACTGGAGTTCATGCAACGGAACTTTCTGTACAAACCTTTTTAATTCCTAGTTTACTGCTTGGCCAGAAACTCACTGTTCCATACGGAAATATCATTCTGGATATGGCACTGTCAAGACTGCCATGTCATAAATGGTAAGACATGTGTGTCACATGTAGCATCCCCCCCAAAAATTGTTGGGCGCACAAAATTCTGTTTCAAATAAACATTCTGATAAAATAAGTAACTAAATTACCAACAGAGCCTTAATTTATGGGTATATACAGAGTGTCCCAGGAGGAATGGACCAAACTTCGGGAGGGTGTTCCTTATGTTAAAGTATGCTGATATAACCCAAAACACCTATGTCCAAAGTTGAACGGTTACGGAGATAATGGCCCGAGAAAAGTGTGGTCTTCTTGCAGGTCCACGCACTGTGGACAGTCAGCTGTGACTGTTATCTGTTTGTACTTGAGTGTGGTGATGTCACACTAGCCGTGATCTCATGCGCAACCTAC